CTGCATCTAAGGGTCACATTTACCTTTTATGTCACTATATTTCACATTAAAAATATTTATATTTATATAATTTTTTGTACAATGTCCTTCTATTAAGTATTGTAAGATACTGATAAAAATATTTTTGCAATATTTTCTTAATTTGTACTATGTTTTGATATAATAATTAATATTCAAATATCAACACGAAAAAAAAGAGTAAATAAAACCTTTAGAGTTGGCCAAAGTAGTATTATATAGAATAGTTTTTTGTAGTATTTTTGGGATACCATGTAATATTAAAATACTAAGTGAATGTACTTTAAAAGGTGAGTGATTCTTTTAGGTTGTGTTCTTGGCTGATTTTTTATTAATTTTTATTATTTAATAAATTATTTTTTAAAGTATCAAATAAAATATTTATTTTTAATTTTTTATATTATTAAAAAATATTTTACATTTAAAATATCGTATATATACTGACTTATATTTCATCAAATAATTATTGAAATTCAAATTCTAAATGTTAAAAAATCCAAATCCCCATATAAACACACCATTTGGTTTTTCTTTTTTCTTATATATATATATATATATTTGAATAATGATTTTGATATAATGCTTTATAAGAAAATTATGTTTCATCAATCAAGCATAATTTTCAAAATATTCTTCTATCTCAATTAAAAGTATTAATTTACTATTAGAGTAAAAATAATCTATCTATAAATCTCAAATATATTAAATTTTACAAAAATATTGTACTTGTAAATACAAAAAAGATATCAAAATTATTTTATACGAGATTATTAATTAATAAAATATTACTCTTTTTTAATTTACAAGAAAATAAAAATAATATATTGAATTGAGATAAAAAAAAAATATATATTTTAAAATAGTAATAGTTGTATAATAATAATGATAAAATAAAAAAATAAAAATTGAACCAATTAATCAAATAATTTTTTCTTTCTCATTTTCTCTCTTTGTAGTTTGTATGATGGCCAAACAGGTTGACCAGGCCCATATAACTTGAGTCAATTTCAGCCCATCTAAATTAAATTAGCCCAAAGGTGGCCGTACAAAAAATATACTCCATTCATTCACTAATAATTTTTTTATTTTTTTATTTTTAATTTAGTATTTTATAAATATATAATATAATAAAATAAATTAATATTTATTTTATCCTTAAAAATAATTTTTTTTTAATATTTAGTTAAAATTTTCTTTTTTTTAAAAAAAATAATAAAAACATTTGATTTCAACATATCAAAATGACAAATAAAAAATTTGACTAGTGAACGAAAGAAATAAAATATTTTTGGTTGACCGTTGAATTTGAAGCAGGATGTTTGGCTTAAGAAAAATTACTATAATAAATAAAATCTATTTATAATATAATATACTCTCTCCGTCCCAGAATTACAGTATGAGTTAGATTTGAGACGAGATTTAAGAAATTTTGATATTATATTGGTAGTGGATAAAAAGTACGGCTAAATTCTTTTTTGCCCTTGTGAATGTACTAGTGTAAAAAGTAGTGACAATTGTGTAATAATAATGAAAAAGTAAAAGTAGTTTTATAGTTATATGATTATTTATGAAAATGAGACTGTTGTTTTGAGACGAATAAAAAAAATAAACAAGATCATTGCAATTTTTTTTTAAAATAATAATAAATAAGAGGTATTTTTATAAAAATTCGATTTGGAGGAATTTTATTACATTATGCTAATTTGATTTGATGTGAAAAATTATCTTTTTATATTATTGATGAATAAATAAGCTTATATATATAAATTTACATTTTTACACAATACTAATTTGATGAATAAAAATGATAAACTTATATATATATAATTATATATTATACTTCGTTGGTCCCACGTAAATTGTTCATATTTTTCATTTGTATCTGTTTCACGTAATTTGTTATTTTTTTCTGAAATATAATTATACATTTTAATCACATTTTAAATTTTATAATTTATAATTTTTTAATTTCAATTAAGTTATTTAGTTATCTTAATTTTAATATATAATTATTTCATTAATTTATCTTTTAATTATTATCAATTATACTTTACCTATATCTATATAAATATTTATGTGGAACGGAGGAAATAATAAATTTATATTTTTAATTATGTATGGGTTTTTAGGCTGGTAATTAGGTTTTTTATTTTAATTTTAAATTTATATTAATACTATTATTTAACTTGTATTTTTTTAAAAAAATATACTATTTTTCTTCCGTCTCATATAAAATATTATTTTTTTAAAATTTCGTATGTTTTACATAATTTATTTTTTATTTTTTTAAAAAATATTATACAATTTAATCAGATTTTAAAATTTACAATTTAAAATTTTTTTAATTTTAATTAAATTATTTAATTATTTTAATTTTAATTTGTAATTATTTTTATTAATATATATTTTTAATTATTTAGTAATTATATTTTTCATAACAATTCTTGTATACAGTAAAAATATATTTTATATGAGTATTATTTATTTTCATAAAATATCATATTAATATAAAAAATATCAAATTTAACATTATGGGTGTGGGGAGAAAAAAATCACTTCAACCCACCAGGTAAATATACAATTTCACCCTTTCATTAGGTAGGTTTCTATTTTTATTTTTTAATATTATTTTTGTATTTATTTTTAACTATAAATTAATTTATAAATTATATTTATGTTCTATTTTTATTTTTATTTTTATTTTTATTTTTTTTAAGTGTTTTAAAATTATATATTTTTGTCTCTTTTGTTTTATTTTTTTATTATTTATAAAATAATTTATTTATATTAAAATTTTGTAATTGATATTTGTAATAAATTATTTATTTATATAATATTTATTGAGATTTATAGTTAATTAATTATGATAAAATTATTATAAATTATCTATATTAAATTTGAATTAATTAATATTATGTTTAATCAAATAATATGCCTTATTTTTTTTTTATTTTATATAAATATTTTTAATAATATTAAAATTTTAATTTATCTAATTTAAATATATATTATTTTTTATGATTAAACAATAAAAGTAATAAATATAATTTATCTGTATACTATTTAAAATATTAATAGAAAATATTATTATAAGTTTAATGTGTAAAGTAGTAAAATATTGAATTTTATTTGTAAATTTTAAAAATTATACTTTCGTACCAAACACCTTGTAACATTTCATTTTTGGTATGTCCCACACAACTTGCAATATATCCAAAATAAGAAATAATTAATTATACTTAATCTCTACCCCACACTTTATCCCCTCACATCGTTCAAATTAAAAAATAAAATATATATTTCTCTCTCCATCACATCACCTAATTTTTAAATTATCCTACTTAATACTATCTACTTAAAAATCAAATATTACACCTTATTTGAGACAGAAAAAATATTAAATTATAGAAAAAAAATTATTTAATTATAAAAAATAGAGGATATGATTTAAAATGAATTAATGCAGCAGTCGAAAAAATAGAAAAATGTATTGTATCTCATGCAAAAAAAAAAAAAAAAAAAAAAAAAAAAAAAAAAAAAAATAATTAATTGTCTCACTAGGTCTCTTCCTCGTCACAACTCCTGACTTGGTGCAGCCTTTTTATTTCGTTATTAGGTTGTGTAGCAGATAGTAATTATTTGATAGTATTTATTTATAATTTAATAAAAATATATAATATATACTCCCCTGTTACACATAATTTGTTCATTTTTTTTTTTATTTTTGTTCGTCCTATATAATTTGTCATTTCATTTTTTGAAAAATTATAAAATTTAATTTTTTTAATTTTAATTAAACTATTTAGTTATCTTAATTTTAATCTATAATTATTTTGACTAAATAATAATTATTTTTACTAATGCATTTCTTAATTGCTTACTAATTATATTTTACCTAAATTCCCGTGTCTACAGTAATAGACCTATATTACATGGGACGGAGAGAGTATTATTTTGTAAAAAATAAAATTTTCTATAATTTAAATGAATAATAATATTTTCGTTTAAATTCAAGGTCCTATTTATTTATATTATAATTTAATAAAAATATACAATATACTTATATCAAAACTTAATACAATTTAAAAAATTATAAAAATACTTTTATTAATATCTTATAATACTAATAGAATAATATTTGTACAAAAAATTATACAATGAACTTAGAACGGGATGGAGGAGTAGTTTAAAATATATATTGATATAATATAAATTTATAATAAAATAATACTATTATTAATTTTATTAATTAAATTTTATGCATATTTATATTATTAAATTCATTATCCACCGCATCAATATAGATCAAAATTCTCCAAAGTCAAATCAAACTTAAATACAAAAGAAATATATAAATTCAAATATATCTTAAAATTCATATAAAAACCAAATCAATTTTCCTCAAATCTTCATAAAAAAATGCAAACTATAGGCTTTGTTTACTTATAAGATTTTACGGCTGATTTTACTATTTCAATTTTTTTTCAAACATCCAATTTTTATTTATTTATTACACTAAAATCTAATTTTACATTCAAAATATTACGTCAATACATATTTATATCACATAAAATAACTATTTTAATTCTAAATTTTACTATTTAAAATCAAAACCCAAAACTAAATAGTTTGTTTAGATAGGGGTTTTTGGATGATTTTGAAAATTTGGAAATTTGGAAAAAATAAAAAATTAGTATTTGACATGATGTTTTAGGAAAGAAAAAAATATATTTAATGCGATGCCTTTTAAAAAATAAATAATGCTAAATGAGTAAAAGTATGTTATTTAAACAGAACAAAAAACTCACAAGTAAACAAACTACTCATTTCCATCTAACTTAACTTTTGTTTTGTTGGGTAGAATTTCAATTACTACAAAGTTAGAGGCCTCTAATGCAAATAATTCCTCCGCTGAAACCTCGGGCTCCGAGTCACACGCAGCATCACCACCACTATAAATACCACACAGTCATCGACCGACCTGAAGCAAATCCCTTGCAATTTTACCGTAAATCCTCATTTGAATTTCTCGAATCTTCCAATCCCTCCCTGACTACGATCAATGAAACCCTAGAGTTTCTCAGCGTTGTGTTCTGGGATCGGATGGTGTGTGTATATCCACAAATCTATGTATATTTGTTTGTTTTGGTAATCAACGCAAGCAATTCTTTCTGATTTTGTTGGTGGTGGATCAATACGAGTTTCTGGAATCTGAAGCATGGACATTGAGCAAAAGCAAGCGGAGCATATAGACTACTTCGTGAAGCAGGCTTCGAATCTCAAAGGCTCGGCGCTCTGCAACGTTGTCGTTGAGGCCACTTCACATCCTGCGCTCTTCGGTTTCTCCGAGCTTCTCTCGGTTCCTAGCGTACTTGAGGTATGAAAGATGTGTCCTGGTCGTGGTTGTCAATTTTTATGTTTTTGTCTTTTGGAAATTTGGTTTGAGAATGAACAAGTGTTTGTTTTGTTTGTGGGATGGGCTGGGAGGGTTTTGCCTGTGGTGGATTTGGGATCGTAGTTTAATTCTGGCATTGGACTGCTTCTGATTTGCTCAGCATTTTGAAATGAGTTGTTTGAATATTGATTTTCAGGTTTTGAAAAATGATTTTAAATGTTGTACAGAAACGTGATTCTTGTCCGTTTAAAAATTGCCACCGACAACTTTGAAGTATCATTACCATCTCGTGGGCAATGGGAGTCGATAAACAATTGTGTTGAAACTAGACTTTCCCGTTCAATGAGACTAAATAGAACATGTAGTTTAGACAACTTTACTTTTGAGGAATTTGTAAATGCAGATTTTTGAGGGGCAGGCAGCTTGGATATTGAAATTTTATGTAGCCATGGGGCTGTATTATTTTCATAGAGTTTGATGTTAGGTAGTGGATGTTCTTTCAGGATTCCCAGCTTGAAGGAACATTCATAGTAAGTGCAGTATTATGAAAACTAGTGAGCTTAAATACACAAATGTCAGGGATGTGAATGTGAAACTTGTACTTTGGTCATCAAGCTTCAGAACCTACCATCTTGTGTTGATATTTTAAGTTCGAAGGAAATATATGTAACTGACTAAATAAATTGCCAAATTACGATAAATGAGAGCCCTAATGAAAATGGGTATCTGTTGCAAGGTCATCTAACAGATCTTTTGTGTCCTATGGAAAATCTTGATTTGATAATTTAATGTGAGATCTTTTTCATTGTGCAAATATGCAATTGATAGATTTTGCCATCCATCTTGGTTGGACTTGGAATGTGTCTTAGCACACTCGAGGTTTTGTTACTTGATTAAATTTATAATCTTATCTTTGCGGCTCTGTGATGATTGTAGGTCATGATGCTCCCTGCATGAACATACAAACATCAGCTGTTAAATGCTTTTATCGTTTTCCTTTGATATAGATGGTAATGTGTGGTGGGAATGCTATAGGTATTTAGTTGGTCAAACCGTCTCAAACGAGTAATAATGATGAACTGAAATGATACATGACACGTGTTGCACGTCCACTACATGCATCTTAATGACTTAATGGATATCTAGCTAAAAGATACCTTAATTTGACTTTTGTTATCTTCTTAATGCTGGTCCGATACAATATTCGAGCAAACTATTTCTGGCTGCTCAATTTCACTGAATTTTATACTGATTTTATGCATGCAGCTTGAAGGAACCGACAACAATGTAGTCCTTGATCTGCTTCGCATGTTTGCACATGGTACATGGAGTGAATTTAAGGGTGAGCATTCAATATTTTCAATTGCCTCTCTCTCTCTCTGAGTTTACTTTTTGTCTCAGGAGTAACATGCTATATGGTGTGTATTGTTATCTGATAATTTTCACATGGTTCTGAGGTTATTTCTTTTCATTTTTTTTTTTTTTTGGTGGTGGTGTTATATCAACTTGTTTTATTTTCCTTCTTTGTAACCCTTGTTCCATCAGTAACGGCTAGTGACTTGATAAATTTGCCCCAGTTCATTTTGTGTCAAGAAATGCTCATATCTGTATGAATGTTGATACAGTGAAGAATGCATACAATAGAATTTTCATGTCTATTGAAAACTAGTGATCAATTTATTGGGTGGTAAATATTGCATATACAACACTTGATTACCTACAAAAGGCACCAAATGAGAGAATTTCAAGTTCTGGTAGAGACCTCTCTGCATTTTGGAAAACTTGAAGCATATCTCACAAGTGGCGGTTTGCACTCAATGAGAGAATTGGTGTGGTCATTATAGTTGTGATTTCTTTTGAGAAAATAATATAGGAAGCAACTCAAGTTAGATCCTTATGCGGATCACCTGCTCCATGCTTTCAAGAAACATCACAATATATGAATCAGCTGTCTTCAGTTTCTTGTAAGATTGTTGTTTTTTTATCTTATGCAGCAATAGTTTTGATGAACTTTTCCTTATATTGACCCGCTTGTTTTCAGAAAAAAAAGGAAATCCAGTTGTAGCCTTGTCTTGCCTAAAATATTTTGAAGTTAATGGTATATGATCTTGTGCAATTATGCAAATACTTATCTTCTGTAGCTCTCTATAAAATATTGGTCTTTTATCAAAGAAGGTTTTTGTTTATCTATTATTGCCATCCGACTATATTTGTTTTAGTGTTGCAATATGGGTTTATGTATGTATCTATTGAAACATATTGGGCCTCATTGAGTTTAGAAGAATAGTTGTTTTGATGGGGAAACAAATGTTCTATTTTGTTCATTTGAATTATCATTAAGCATGATGCATTTGATTGATGATAGTGGTGGCCGTTGAATGTGATCCTTGTTTAAATGATCGAAGCGATTTCCAGTTAATTGAAGGATGAGGTCTGGAGGGCTTGGCCTTCTATTTTAAGTTTGAAAGATAGCAATGGGTTGACGTGCTTGGTTGCTGCTTGGGGGCCACCCTAACTGATCGCAGTTATAGGCAAGAGATACATGTAATAATTTGTGCTGTGTAATTTGTATAGAATGATTAATCCTTTCATAATTCATCTTGGAGTTGACAGAAAAAGATAATCGTTATTTGGATAAAGCTTTTGAGATAGAAATGACCATTGAGCTTTGCACGGCTTTGATGTCATCTTCAAATCAATAGGACTGGCCAAATTCATAATCTACTTTGGGATTGGGATTGATAAGCTTGTGAAAGTTCACCTCAATGGTTAGATGCCTTGGTTTGCACAGTACAGGTGCATATAGGATGTAGTGTAATTGCCTCATCTACTAGATATGTAACATTTTGATGAAGTTAACCTACTGGAAATCAATTTTTATATTTTGTGTCGTGATATAGGTGTTTCCAACCATCTACCGACGTTGAGTCCTGATCAAGTCCTCAAACTAAAGCAGCTTACTGTACTTACTTTGGCTGAGACACACAAGGTATTGTTACATGTATTTTATTAGTATGCTCACTCACAAGTCTAATATAATTATGTGATGAAGATATATATATATATATATATATCCAACTTTCCTTGTCTATTCTTTGCACTAGTTGATGTCCCTAAATTATATGCATTTTGCTCTTCTAGTAAGAGTTGAGAAGACCAAGCTTGTTGGATCTATCTAAAGTTTGAATATAGCCTTATTTGTGCTTTCGAATTGAAATTAATGAAATTTTCTTCCAAAAATTATGGTAACTGCTGAATGCCCTTTTTAACAACCAAGTCCAACACAATATTTCATCTTGACGGCTCTGCCTTAATGCATCATTTCCTTCTCATGTGCCCTCCTACTATTTTCTTATTTTTATCTAACTGCAGAATTCAAAATTCTTGAGATGCATGGAAGCTTTCTTGCATGATTGTTTTTTTTAGCTGATTAGCTTGTTCTCTTTCTTTTGTCTACCAGTAGTGGATTTCTGAAAGAGTTTGTTGGTAGTTTCTCTGGGACCACTTTTCAACGAATTCCTTGATATAAGCTGTTTATTGGTTCTTGCCAGGTGTTGCCATATGATACACTAATGCAGGAGTTGGACATCAATAATGTTCGTGAGTTGGAAGACTTTCTCATTAATGACTGCATGTATGTGGTACGTGTATGCTTCTGTACCTACCAAAAATTGCTACAAGTACTACTGCTTCACATGTACACTTATTTCTTGGAGAACTGAGCAGCTTTTCATGGGTTTTATGTTATGTTTCTGTATGCTAGCTTTTCCCTAATTTGATGCAGAAATGAAAAGTGTCTGATCTGTTGATATCTTCTACTTTTTTGCTACTATTCTGGACAGGGAATAGTCAGAGGGAAGCTGGATCAGTTGCGAAGATGCTTTGAGGTCTTGTTTTGATATGAAACTAGTTTCTTTGTGTAACTAAGCTGCTTCTCAGTCTTACTAATGAATTGTATTTGCTGAATTTATAGGTACAATTTGCTGCAGGGAGGGATCTTAGACCTGGACAAATGGGTAACATGATTCAAACACTGGCAAATTGGTAAGTTTTTTTCTTGGCTAAGTTACATTAGCCTGTTGATTTTCTTGTGCTTGTTCTTTTCAATTAGTATTATTTCTAGAATATTTTGTTCGTCGTGGCATGCATAGCACTATTAAGTTACTTTAATCAAGGTTCATTGGCCTCCTTAATTAATTGTTTGTGGTGTTGGACCATTGTTTACTTTTTGTCTTGGATTATCTGAATTTGAAGCTGCATAATTTCAAATGGTTTATGTTCCTTGCAAACCAAGCATTTCTGTAATCGAAGTGGTGAACTTTGATGGATGTCATCTTGCCATTCTTATCTATTTGGCACGACTTGGTATCTAATGAAATCGTATAATGTTTGGATATACATGTAGGCTATCCACATCAGAAAATCTTCTTGTTTCAATTCAAGACAAGATAAAATGGGCAGACACTATGAGTGAGCAGGACAAGACCCACAAGAAAGACATAGATGAGAAAGTGGACGAAATGAAGAAGACGCTATCCATGAAGGTCAGTTAAACATTGAGCAATTTTACAGTACTATTTATCTTGATGCTGCTTTGCTGTTGTTGCATAAATTTGTTATTACAACATAATTATACTGAATTGCTGTTGTATTTCTACATAATCGACTCAAATATCAGATATAAATACCTTAGAATTTCTCTAAAGATATCGATTAACCTTGTATCTAAATGTTTTTTTTTTTTTAACTATCAGACTTTGAAAGCAAATAGCTTATTTTATTGGAAGTGCTATTCGTCCATTGGTTGCACATAGCCATTTTATGCGTATATGATCTGTTTTTTATTGGTGGACGAGTTTGCATGTATTGTCTGGATATGTTGGTCGATGTGTCTTACTTACGTCATGGCAGAAGTTCCAAACTGTAAGCAGGCCGACGCTGAATTTCGAGGTCATGAGGAGATCTTTTCGGAACATGGTGGAGTGATGGAGTTTGAGGAGGATCGTAGCCGCCCCAAGAGGTGCACTATACACGAACAAAGTCTGCTACATTTCTGACATATTTCCTTATTTGACTTCATTATATACAGGAGACGACATCCCATAGGTTGAGGAGACATTGTCGTTGAGACAAGATCCTAGGGGTGCAACGGTAACTTCCCATTCCTTGCAAGTCATGCCGCCGCCCAGACATGATGAGCGCCGCTGTCAAAAATGGGTCAGTCCTGAATCGAACCACACCGTCCACATCCAGATCGAAATCTTACTGACAGCATTAGTTTATGTTATTATATTATCCCAGTAAGACTTAATTCTTAATTTGACGAGAACCCTACCTAGTGTCGCTATTTTCTGGCGGAAACTTGGATTTACATTTGGTGACAACATACACCAACAGTTTTAATCAATCAAACCCACAGAAATAGCTAGCTAGCTAGCTTTGATGCACTTTTTATCGTTTTTTGCGTTGCATGAACCTGTGGTTTGTATTTATTGTTCGTTGTTATCCTTTAGGTATAGAAAATACTTCATTTCACTCCATATAGGCAATGGTTTTACATACTAGTCACATATATATATATATATATATGCATGCTTCTCGAACCACAGGTGTCAAGAATGTCCTTATTTCTTTACCATTGCCGATTTTCTCTGCTTCAGTCGGATTCCGTCTTAGTTGATCCTGTAGCAAGTGAAGATTTAGTGTCAGGGAAAGAAGAAAAGAAAGAAAGATGTTTTGTTTTTTTTTTGTTTTTTTGTTTTGTGGCTTACTTGTGGCAGTCGACAGTGCGCGACACAGGAACGTCAAGCTTGACTCCACACTTGTCGGGAAGGCTCTGCGCCGCGTCATCCTTGAGGTTAGTGTAACGGTTGGCTGCTGCCTTGATGCAGTTGCAGGCGGCTCTCTTGTCCGGTGTGGTCTGGGCCATCCCTTTGACGGCCTTCACCCCGTCACAGCATGGCGGAGACGGGCCCCCATCCTGTCCTATGAGGTACCCGATGCAGGGGGCCAGGGCCCCCTCGATCTGAGGGCAGGCGACTGCGGCGGCAGCTCCTCCTCGTGAGAGAATGGTAAGTAGCACAGCCATGAATATGAATGCTTTCATTTTTGCTGCTTGGATTAGTATGGTAATGGTGTTTTGATGATGGGGTTTATACTGGTTGGGAGGTGAGTATTTTGGGCAGCCGGTTATGGTATTTTCCACATCTTGTGTCATTTTGGGGACTTGAAATGGCAAAAACAAACAGTGAGAGGCGTTGGGTTGTTACTGAAGTCACAATTTCGTGTGCAAATCCTCCAAAATCTTGATTGATTGCATTTGCATATGATATGATGTCCACCCAAATGAAGTAGGACATTATGGTACGCATATACTCCTCTTCCATATATATATATATATATATTTTAGAATAAAATTTTATATAATATAATTGAATATTATCTATTTATTTATGATTAATATAAATTAATTTTATAAAAGAATAACGAATTTTAATATGTGAAGCTTCTATTACATTACTGATAGCCCATGTATACAAGACACATGGTGCATATGTGATATATATATATATATATATATATGATAGTATAATATGTCATATATTATATAATTTAAAATTATATAATATAATATATTATTGATTTTAGCACAGTAAATGTAAAAATATATACATGCTATAATATATAATTTGCACATAGACTCGGTCAAAATTTCTATTACGTTACATTTTGATACTGAATTGGCCGAGAAATAATTGGGCTACATTAAATTCAGCTCATTATTGAAAATAGGTTCGAAATTTTTTGAATCATGCTTTGCTCGACACACTAATCAATTAGGCTGTACCCGGGCGCATAATAGTTGGATTGTGCCTGACCTGATTTTTAAAATTAATATTTTAATATTAATATATATATAAATATTAAATTTTGAAATAAAAACAAAATTTAAAACATGATTTATGAGATCAATTTCAGGCCGGATTTGGAATTGGGCCATACTGACTGATGCACAAAAGACCTGGGTCGCTCCCGAATTGCTACCCCTAATTTCTATCATCTTTAACGATGTCAATAATAATTTTATAATTTGACAATAATGCTAAATTTTCTATGTACACATTGATAATGTTTAGGATTATATTGCCAAATATCATTGCATTAGCAAGAACGTGAAATTTTCCTACCAACATTACACCTAATTCATATTATGAATCTCTTGTTGCTATTGTCATTCTCTCGTTGTATATTTGATTAAATTCTCGTTTTATTATTTCCATGTCAAATACTTATTTTTTTACTATTTTCAAAATTCTAAAAAAACTAAAATTTTAAAATCTCTATTTAAATGCATCCTAGATCTTTGAAAAGCTTTCGAAAGGTTCGTATAACGGAACATAGAGTTTCAAAAAGATTTCGAATGTTCGAATAATTTAAGAGCGTACCTATGGTAAGTAATAAATATTTCAAAATCGATGAAAACTTACGGAAGTTTGTGCACATCGAAATGAGTATTCCTAACTTAAGCTTCAACATTTATAAGATTCGATCATTTTTTGGAACATAAAATAGTATTAATAGTCGAAATATATATGAAATTGATCTAGTAAGTGTACAAATGGATATGAAAATATAAATGATCGAACTAAAAAAATGACTAAAATTAAATTCTCCAATACGACAAGTCCGGGTGAGGTTATACCTACAATCGATGGTTCGGATAAGCCGAAATAAATAGCTAGGATCACGACAATCGTAATAATAATGGAATTTAAATTGTGCTAGTTCATACATAAAGTTCATTTGTGATAAAAAATATTTTTGTTAGATTGTTCACATGTCATAGTTTGTTTAAATTGAATTAACATGAACAAGATTTTAGTAATTTTTTAAAATTCAATTTTTTGAAAAGAACATGTCATGTCATAATTTAAACAAAATTTTATTAATGAACATAGTGTTTTGGTAAATTTCATTTCTAAATAAGAAAAATTTTAAACTTTGGATTTTATCACAAGCCAATCTAATTTCAAATATTACTTCTACATTTTGTTCCCTTAAAAAAACATAAAAATCTACTATTCAATACACATATTAAAAAAATTGAAAATAACAAAGGTATAATAAATAGTAATAATATTAATAAACCACAACAAATTAATAAATGTAACATTCAATTAATTTCATTCTATAAACTAATTCACCATCATATTAACTATTTACTTTTAGCCATTAAATATAACAAAAAAATAACACATTGGATTCCAACTAATTATAAACCTTCCAATTAAATTTTGCAGAAAATAAATTTCTACCAAGCAAATTAAGAAATTAGTTACTACTAGATTAATTAGTTACCTAAACGGCAACAACACAAAATCCCTACAATTTTGATTTAAATTCAAAATTCAAAATTTTCACTTCAATATATATATATATATATGTATCACTTCCGCACACTATCACTTTTGCATAGTGTATCACTTCAGCACTTCAACATTTCTTACGGCTACTATTGCATCTTATTAATCAATCAAATATACATATATACTCTTGTTCCATATTATATATAAATTCTTCAATATATTTATATTTATATTTATAAGATATAAAAAAATGATGGGAAAATTAAGGGCAGAAGCTGAACCATTTGTACCGGCAGCCGTAGCAAGCCAAAGATGTGCAGTACAAAGTGAAGAAGAGAGGTCATTGTATATGACCTTCTCCAATGGCTCCAATTTCACATGGAAAGAAATATTCCAATATTTTACTAGGTAATGTAACTCAACAAAGTTAATTTTACTATCATATGCATTAGTGCAAAATTCAAGCTAAGATTTTATTTAATTTTTTAGTGCAAATATTTTTTTTTAATATAAAGTATAATTATGTTAATTTTCCCTTCAAAAATATTAAGATTATTACTTTATTATATATATTTTTTTCACCAGTTAATACAGTAATAAAGATAATCGAAAAAAAATATAAAATCAATAAAATATACTAATTGTTAGCCCCCTGAAATTCGAGGACCGGTATAATTTCAAAATATAAGATATATATGATGAAACCCGAGTTAAGTTTTATAATCATGTCATCTTTCAATGGTGTGCAGTGAATATGGAGAGGAGTGCGTAGAGTATGTGTACGTGCATCGAAAAAGAAGCGGGGGTGTAGACTTTGGGAAGATAATATTCAAGACACGGGAGACGATCGAAACAATAATGGAGGATGACCAGGAGGTGAGGGTGTTGCGGGTTAATCGGAAGAGCATATGGCTCAAGAAATACATTTATTCCCACCAACGCCACTCTAACAACAACAATAATAACAAATGATCATCTTTTCTTGTATCAAACTATCTATAAATCTATCTATGCATATCTTTAAAATTATTGTTGTGGTAGAATCAATAAAAATGATAAGTTCCATGTGCTTTTATAGCTATAATAAATCATATCCTAAAATGACTCATTTATTGCATTATATATGTTTTTCTTGACTCGAGACACTTATGTTTGAGGATTTAAATTTTGAATTTAAATTTTTGAATAGTTGTTGTATACAATGCTTTGAATATAAAAAATAAAAAATAAATATTTGATTCGATACTTTTCTAGAAAAAAATTTAAATAAATAGTATTTTTTTTTTTTTTAAAAAATCCACAAGAAAACACAATTTATAACTTTATTCAAATAAGAGACTTTACGGAGCTTTGGAAATTTTGAGAATAATAAAAAATAATATATTTTTTGTAATATTTTGTGAAAAGAAAAATTTGATTGATGTCTGAAAAAATTGAAGTAATGCCCGACACCCCAAAGTGTTGTCGAAACAAAGCCTAACTATCGTTGTGTGCAAGTAGTGTGTAATATAATTGTATTCCATATAGAGATAGAGATATAGACAAAATAGGAATTTCCTTTATTAAAACAAAGGGAACGGACGTGCTAACAATCGAAATAAAAATAAATAATAAGGACTTCTTTATGTTGATTTTTTGTTCGAAAGGCTCTATGGAATTTCAATCTAATTAAATACTTATTTAGTTTATCCGATCCATTTAAACATTTTTATTTTTATTTTTTCATAGAAATACAATTTCACATATCAATATATATATTATATTACTAGCTATTTACCGATGCTATGCACGGCTTATTAGAATATAAAATTTGTATAAATTATATTATGTCATATTAAAATATAGAATTATAAAAATTGAAGATTTTGTATAAATATAATAAATAAAGAATATGACTGTTAAAATAAATTACGAAAACTGAAGATTTTTATTATTTGACCATCAAAATAAAGAGCCTATATATAGGCAACATAAAATAGATAGACTCGATAGATTCAAATCTAAATAATCTAATATATGGTTAAATCTAAATAGAAATCTACTAAATTTAAAACTAACTTGAGTTTGCAAAGAAAGATCGAAAATGATGCAACCACAATCATCCATCGTGCCAGAATAAGAAGCAATGCCTTCAGCTAAATTAGAGTAAAAAAAACTCTTACCAAAGACTAAAAAAATGGAACTGGAAAATACAAAACTCTCTCCGGAGCTTGAAAAATACAGAACTCTCCGGAACCAGGAAAATGACGGGACTCTTAACGCAATTGGATGTAGTGCTTTGTACTGAACTATGACAAATGATTAAAGCCCGAACTCGGATGCAAAATTGAAAAAGAAAATTGAAGGACGATCACTTGTAGACGGATCTCAAAATTAGAAGACCTTCGTTGACACCATCAAATCATAAACAAAAATCTAAAAATTGATGACCTCCTAGTACATTCCAAGTTGATTGTATCCGAAAAAACGTGGAATAGTATATTGTATCTACTCTAAAAATAGTGAAGGCTCTGATACTAATACTATGTTAAAATTAATTACGAAAACTGAAAATTTGCATTATTTGATCATCAAAATGAGGCCTATATATATAGGCAACATAAAACAGATATACTCAATAAACTCAAATCTAAATAATCTAATATATTGATAAGACCAAATCTAAATAGAAATCTACTAAATCTAAAACTAAATGTTTAAAATATCTCAACAATGACGAAAGGTTTGTGTATACTTTTTGTATATGATAAATTTTTTTTTTTTTAATTAAAATTATTGGAGAAAATTTTTATATAAACAAAGGGGATTCTAAATTATCCCATGTTTATATAACTTTTCAATTTCTTCTTCGTATGAGATAATTCATATAATTCTATCGAACATTGTTTATCGTTATAAAAAAGTATCCAAATTACTAAAAATATAACACTAAATCATATGCATTAAAATATAAAAATTT